CACTTGACGACGCGCTCGACGAAGTCGCCGAACTCGCGCTTCGGCGGCTTGCGGCCCTTGGCGGCGACCGCGAGCTCGTGCTTGGCGCACGCGACCGCGGAGCGGACGAGCGCGAGCCACTCGCGGTCGCTCAGCGCGCCGCGCCGCTGCACGTCCTCGAGCATGGACGTGATGGCCTCGACGGCCTTCTTGCGCGACGCCTGCTTGCTGCTGATGAGCTCGCCGAGCTGGTGCGACAGGCGCGACATCGTTTGAACGTGGGAGCGCTCTTGGTTCTCGTCGTGGCGTGACGTTTCGTTTTTTGTTGTCGCTGGTGTCGCAGCGGTCGCGCGTGGCGGCGCCGGAGCGGTGGCGCGTTTGTGGGTGCGTGCAGCTCGCACTGGAGGCGCGGGTCCGAGGCTTTCGCGCCCCACCCTGGATCGATCCGACGATCCAGAGATGCGTCAAATTGCCGTCAACGTGCACACACTGAGCAGCTCGCCACCCTGGCTCGACCCGGAGATGCGCCAAATTGCCGTCAACGTGCACACACTGAGCGCTGCTGGCGGGCTTTGAACTCGTTACCAGCCTCTCGGAATCCCCCGCGGTCGGAGCGCCGCGGGGGCGGGGCGGTCTCGTTCTTCACGGCGCGTCGCCGCAGAACTCTGGGCGGGGAGCGGTTCTTCGCGGCGGCGGGGCGCCGCAGAACTTTTGGTGGGCGGGGATCTTCTAGGCGTTGTCGTCGCCGGGGTCGTGGAAGTCGGCGGCGATGGCCGCGGAGAGGAGCGCGGCCTCCCTCTCCTTGGCCTCCTCCTCGACCTCCGCGGACGCGTACTCGTTGCGGTGCTCGCCCTTGCCCAGCAGGGCGATGTTCGCCGCGTTCTTGAGGACGCCCGTGACCTCCTGCGTGACCTCTTTCGTCTTCTCGAGGGCGAGCTTGCCCGCGTCCGTGATCTCGTGCGCCGCGTGCGTCGCCGGGTGGAGCTTGAAGCTCTCGGCCTTCGCGAGGCGCTGCTTGCCCTTGGGCGAGTCGGCCGTCGCCGTGAAGGCGTCGAGGCCCGCGCCGCCGCCGAGGCTCGCGTTCGCGTAGAGCGTCTCGTTGATGGCGTCGAGGTCCGCCCAGAGCGACGTCCGGAGCTTGTCCATGGGCAGGTCCGAGTCGTCGTCGCCGAAGGGGTCGTCGAGCTCCAAGGCCACGATGTGGATGACGGAGAAGAAGGCGATCATGATGGCGACGAGGACGACGTAGCACGTGATGTAGATGCCCCCGGAGATGTTCCAGAGCATGCCCATCTCGCGCTGGTTCGCGTTGAGCTTGACGACGTAGGCGTAGGACATGTACTGGGGGAAGATGATGACGCAGAAGCAGAAGCGGACCACGAGCGAGATGTTCTGGATGCCCCCGGGCATGGGCGTCGTCTTGATCTTCATGGACCCGTAGAAGCAGCGCAGGAGCTCGTTCTGGCAGTCGACGGCCGTCGCCTGCTCGAAGCCCTTGAGCAGGTCGAGGTCGCAGCACGTGCGGATCGCGTGGGCGAGCCAGCTGTGGCAGACGAGGATGCGCCGCGGCGACGCGGCTAAAATCTTCGCGCGCTCCTCGCCTAAAGCCTTGAGCTCCGCGGGCTCGAGCTCCTTCATGAGCCCCCGGACGGCCTTGGACGAGCGCATGAGCTTCTGCGACGGCGTCTGCGCCGGGTCCTGCACGAGGATGTCGACGAGCGTCGCGATGTGGAGCTTGGACACCAACTTCAACTCCAGGATCGCCTTGGCCTCGGCCTCCGTCGGCGCGTCCGCGTTCGCCGTGAGCATCGTCGCGACGTTGCGGACCTTGGTCATGGCCGTGCCCACGAGGCCGCGCGCCTCCCACCAGCGGCCGAAGGACCAGCTCAGGCGGAAGACGAGGAGGAAGCTCAGCGCGGAGCCCATGATCGACGTGCCCGTCGACAGCGCGGGCACCTCGGGCCAGCCCTCCGCGCGCGCGCGCTTCGAGCTGCCGGGGCCGTCGCGCAGGGACGCGAAGTAGTAGAGGCTCAGCAGGCCCAGGCCCACGCCCGTGACCTCGTAGACGAGGATGGTGATGAACCAGTCCACCATGTTGTGGGACACGACCCGGTCGCGGCCCAGGTAGCGCAGGTGGAGCTTCTGCGTCTTCCCCTCGTGGCGCCACTGGAAGACGCCCTCCTTCCCGTGCCACTTGGACACGGTCCCGGCCACCTTGGGCTTGTCGCTCATGGCGGCGGATCCTCCGGTGGCAGTGGGCAGCCCTCCTGTGGATTTTTGCGAGGCCCGCTTTGGTGAACGTTGCGATGCGCGACAGACCTGGAGGGTAAACATTGCATGCTTGAAGCATTCGCTCCGTCGGCAGCTCTTGATCTGCTTTGCTTGCGTCGTCGTCCCGTGCATCGATGGCGCGCTGGTGGCCGCGACGTGCCGTGGCGCTCCTCGTCCTTGCGGCGCCCTGGGCCACGACCGCCTTCGTCCCGGCCCACCCATCCTGCCGGCGCGCCGCGCCGCTGCGGAGCGCCAACTTCGACGGCGACCCCTGGGAGGTGCTGGGCGTCGCGCGCGGCGCGTCGAAGAGCGAGCTGCGCAAGGCGTTCCGGAAGCGCGCGCTGAAGACGCACCCGGACGTCAACGACTCGCCGGCGGCGGCGGAGGAGTTCGCGAAAGTGCAGGCGGCCTACGACACGCTCTCGGACCCGAAGAAGGCGCGCAAGGCGGACTTCAACAGCCGGAACGCGCGACCTTCGTCGTCGACGGCCGGCCGCCGGCCGCCGCCCGGCTACCGCCCGCCGTCGGAGCGCGGCGGCGGCGCGGCGTCGGGCTGGCGGCCGCCGCCGCCGCCGGACTACGACGACGCCGGCGGCGACACCTGGGGCGCGATCTTCGGCGACGTCTTCCGCGGCGTCGCGTCCAACGGCGTGCGGGGCACGGTCCGCAGCGTCGCGTCGGATTTGTTAGATGTCCTGGAGGCGACGACGGACGACGGGAGCTTCGAGACGGACTTCGCGACGGCGAGGGAGTGGCGAAACGCCGTCGCCGACGCGGAGGCGCTGGCCGACCGCCTCGCGGCGCGGCTCCGCGACGAGATCGACCCCGCGCTGATCGACGCCAAGGCCGCGGAGCGGGCCTGCCGCGCCGACGCGAGCCGCGACGTCGACGAGCTCCTCGCGAAGATCGAGCTCTCGGCGGGACTCGCCGCGAAGAAGACGGCCTGCGAGCGGCAGATCCGCAACTCGCGCCGCGAGCTCGAGGCGCTCCGCCGCCGCGGACCGCCCGCCGACGGCGGCGGCTACGGGGGCGCCGCGCCGCCGCCGCGGAGCCGGGCGGCGGCGCCGCCGCCGCGGAGCCGGGCGCCGCCGCCGCCGCGGCGCCCGCCGCCCGGCGACGACCGCCGCGTCGACGACGAGCTCGAGAAGCTCAAGCGCGCGCGCGGCTCGTCGCCGCCGCGCGCGGCGCCGCCGCGGAGGTCCGCCGCGAAGGCGGACGGCGACCGCCGCGTCGACGACGAGCTCGACAAACTGAAAAAGAAGATGGGGAAGAAGTGACTAACTCAGCCCTTACTCTTGATCGCGAACTTCTTCTTCGCGGGCCGGGGCCCGGCGGCCCGCCCCGCGGCGCGCTGCCGCGCGCGGTCCGCCGGGTCGTCCAAGCTCGACGTCTCGACGTCGATCTGCCGCGCGACGTGGCGCGACTTGATCGACGCCTTCGTCGCGCCGTGCTTGACGAACTTCAGCGCCGCCTCCAGCTCCCAGAGCCAGTACGCGTCCTGGTCGTTCATGTGCGCGCGCTCCGCGAAGGGGTACATGTGCGTCCGGACGTAGTCCGCGTCGAGGAGGCTCGGCTGCAGGCTGAAGAGGGGCCAGGGCGGCACGCGGCCGCCGGCCATGTTCTCCGCGCAGCGGTCCGGCGCCATCTTCTGCGCCAAAACCTCCGGCGACGCGCAGCCGACGACGGCCGCGTGCTGCTCCGGCCCGAGGGCCACGGTGACGTAGTCGACCGGCCCCGCGGCGCCGTCCCGCACGGCGTAGTCCTCGCAGTCCGCGGGGATGTCGAGGAAGGCGCCGTTCATGGCGACCTGCGTCGCGCCGCTGGCGCGCTGGACGGCGAGCGCGCGCTGGACGACGTCGCCGCCCGGCGCGGCGCCGCTGCCCGGGGGCATGACCCAGTCGTCCTCCCACTCGAGCCACCACCGCGTCTTCACGAAGCCGTCGAGCAGGAGGTTGATGCTGTAGGGGTGTCGGTGGAGGGGCTTGCCCTTGCAGACGAGCGTGACCCAGGGCGCGCGCGTCACGATGGCGACGCGGTCGGCCGTCGTCGCGCCGCGGTCCGCGACGACGACCCAGTCGCGCACGAGCCGCTGGCTCGCCGCGGACGTCTCCCGCAGGAAGGAGGCGAGCGTGCGGAAGAAGGGCTCGAGGCGCCCGTTGAACGTGCACGTCCACGTCAGCGGCGCGTCGGCCCACGCGCGCGGCCGCGCGGGTTCGGGGACCGCGTGCTCGGGCTCCCGCTCCGCCGGCGGCGGCGACGCCGGCGGCGCCGCGGCGCCGCCGAGGAACACGTCGACGACGGCGCCGTCGGCGAGCGCGTCCGCCGGCGTCGCGGCGAGGTCGAGGGCCGCGCCGTCGAGCTTCGCCGACGCGGCGCCGGCGTCGGCGGACGCGCCGAACTTCTTCGCCACGTGCTTGCAAAACGGCTCGACGACGACGCGCCGCAGGGGCAGCGCCAGCTTCGACGCCGCCAGCGTCACGCGCACGCAGACGAGCTCGCCCGCGACGAGGCCGCGGATGGTGACTTTCATCGAGGCCTCCATGCTTAGGGGCTGCTCGGTCAAAGGTCAGTGGAGCACAGGTGTTGATCTGGTGTTGACTTTTGTGGGCTAGATCTATGGAGCTCACGGAGCACGCAAGCTCGTAACAGGATAACGCGGAACAAAAATGCACTGGGAGGCCGGGACGCTCTTCGGCCTGCCGCTCCACTCCTCCTTCCTGCTCAAGGAGCCGTCGGAGACGGTGACGGTCTACGTCGGGAACCTGTCCTGGACCGTCACGGACGAGGTGCTCTTCGACTTCCTCGCGTCGCGCACGCGCGGCGTCGTGTCGTGCAAGGTGTCGCGGAACCACAGCGGCCAGAGCAAGGGCTTCGCGCTCGCGACCTTCGCCGACGACGCGTGCGCGCGGCGGGCCATCGGCCTCTGCCACGACACTGAAATGGGCGGTAGGACGCTCGTCGTCCGCGCGGACCTCGCGCCGGAGCGGCGGCCCCGCGTCGCCAAGCCCAAGCGGTCCCCCGAGACCGCGGCGTGCGACCGCGTCTTCTGCGGCAACGTGCCCTTCGCGACGACGCCCCTCGAGTTCGAGCGCATCTTCGCGGGCGCCGGCGCGGCGGAGGCGACGCTCACCGTGGACTGCGACGGCCAGAGCCGGGGCTACGGCCTCGTCCGCTTCGGCTCCGCGGAGGACGCCGCGCGCGCCATCGACGCGTTCGACGGCTTCGAGATCGACGGCCGCCCGATGCGCTGCAAGTTCGACGCGCGGGCCCCGCGACGGTAGATGCAACTACGCGGGATCGGGGACGACGACGCGGGACGGGTCGCCGAAGAGGAACGTGAGCGAGATGCGCCGGTGCTCGTAGCCCGGCCGCCAGGCGCCCACGTCGGACGCGTGGAGGAGCTGGGAGTCGAAGAGCACGAGGCGGTTCTGCCGGTAGGGCACGGCGACGGAGGGGAAGTCCGCGAGGACCGCGTCCGCGTCCGGCCCGAGGAGCTCCCGCGGCGTCTCGCCGTCGGCCATGGAGATCGCGCCCTCGTCGTCGTAGAGCATCATGCCGCCGCGGTCCGGCTCGAGGTTCGCGCCGTCGGGCGTGAGCCACAGGTTCACGTTGACCTGGGACTGGTCGCGGTGGACGCCGATGCCCCTCTCCGCGTGCTGGTACTTGTAGCCCCAGAAGTTCAGCAGCGGCTTGTCGGCGAGCGTCCGCGGCAGCGCGGCGCGGAGCTCCTCGGCGACCTGCAATAAGAGCGGCGCCGCGAAGCCGTCGACGGCGTAGGCGCCGAGGTGGCCGCCGGCGTTGTGCGGCTTCGTTTCGTAGAAGACCGTCGCGGACCGGCAGTACTCCAGGAGCGCGTCGAGCGCGCCCGGGGTCAGCGCGTCGTCGACGACGACGACGGACCCGTCGTCGGCGAAGTTCGCGTCGCTGGACGCCCACATGCCGTTGGCCGCGAGCGCGGCCTCGCCTCCCGGCCGCCGCGCGCCGAGCGCCGCGTGGCTGCCCGCGAAGACGAGCGCCCGGTTGTACGTCGACCCCAGGAGCATGCGGTCCCGCGCGTCCATCTCGTAGAAGCCCGTGAGCAGCGCCGTCCGCTCGCCGCTGTGGCCCCGCGTCGCGTAGACGGCTTTTTGGGCGATGACTTTGGCCTCGACGCGGCGCAGCACCTCCTCGTAGGCCGGGACGACCTGCGCCCGCACCCACCGCGGCCGCCAGCCCCGCGACGCCAGGTACTCGAACTGCTCGAGGTCGTGGCGCAGCTTGTACATGGTCGTGTGGCGGAAGCCCGCGCCGGGCAGCCGCGACGCGCCGAGGGCGGCGGACCCCGCGGACGCGTCGTCGGTGAAGAGCGGGCCCCGCCGGAGCCAGAGCAGGTGCGGCGCCAAAGCCTCGAGGAGCATGAGGTTCCCCGAGACGAGCAGCGCGACCTCGCCGGACGTCATGAGGTCCTGCGGGCCCGCCAAGGCCGCCAGCGACGGGAAGCCCACCATCTGGGCCAGCCGGTCGCCGACGACGCCGTCGAGCGGCGCGTAGGCGCTCGAGTTGTAGGCATTGCCGGCCGCGCGCGGCAGAGCGAGGAGGAGCAGCAGGCCGCGGCGCATTGCTCTCGACGCTGCAGACGGCAGCCCTATTTGGTCGCTTCCATCACCCCGTGCTTGAGCTCAAGGTGTCGTTCACTTTGGGCCTGGTGCCAGCACCTCCTCGCATCGCATGGGCGCAAGAGTTGCGTAGCCTCGTCGCAGTGCCCCGCGCTATCATTCTCCGGCCGCGAGCGCGTGCGCGATCTGAAACATGTCAAAGCTCAAAAACATGGAGGTCGGAGATCTCTTCGACGCGAATAATCGGCAATTCGAGCCTGAGGATCAGTGCTGGAAGTGCGGCGCTCCGCTCGGCGCGCCCCACCGGCGCTGGTGCACCTTCGACTTCTGTCGGCGGTCCGGGGTCCAGTTTTTTGGCGGGCGCCCATGCTATTGCCACAAGGGACCGCAGTACAACTACATGAACGGCCTACGCATCGGCGAGGACGCCGACGCCGGACGCGTCGACCCGCCGGGGTCGCTCGTCACCGCGGTCTCCACGCCATGGATCACGCCGATGCATCAAGGCGAGGACACCGAGGACGAGGATGAAGACGAGGATGAAGACGAGGAAGAAGAGGGCTCTCGGCGCATGTGCCAGTTCGACGTGCCGTGGGACGGCTACGCGCCCGAGACACTCGATTGTAAAGCCCTCGGCCTCCTCAGCAGGCGGCGCGTGGCCGAGACGGACGGCGAGAAACACGTGGTCGATGAAATCGTCGACGACCCCGAGCTCAACGGCGTGATGCCCGGTTTGATGCTGACACTGCCGTTGCAAGACAAGGGCATGTTGGACTGGAATTCGCTCCTTCTCCGGTGGCAGTGGTCGCGTCACGTCACGTCGCTGGACAACAGCTCGCGCGCGCTGGCGCGGCTCGCGCTCCTGTCCGTCAAGGACCGCGCCGCGCCGCGCGAGGACGCGCCCAAGGCCATGCACGTCGTGCACCGCCTCGCCGCGTCGGGGCACGCGACGGCCATCAGCTCCGTGCTCGCGTTCTTTCGGGGCGAGGAGAAGCCCTGGTTCTACGGCGGCCTCGGCAAAATCTTCTCAGCGGGCGACGCGCTGGAGGCCGAAAGACGGAAGCGCATGGCAGCGCGCAACATGTTCGCGAACACGCCGCCGGCGATCGCGAGGCGGCGCCGCTGGGAGGCCGAGGACGCGCGCGAGGCTTTGGCCGAGGCCGAGGACCGCTTGCAAAAGGCCGTGGAGCACGCGGCGGGCGCCACGGACGAGGCCGCGGCCGCGGCGTGGTCGTCCTTCATAGCCACCCTGCGGAGGAATGTCGACGCCGCGACCGGCGCCCTCGAGACGGCCGAGGCGGCCGTCGAACCCGCGGAGGCGGCGGCGGAGGCCGCCCGGGACGCCCGGGCTGCTGCTCGGCGCGCCTTGAGCGCCCAGCGGGGTCGCGACGACCCCCTCGGTGCCCATCCCTAGCTCGCCACGTGCGTCGCTGGCTAAGTCCCACGCTTGCTCAGAGCTCAGCGTGCGACACCTCCGTCGGACTCCCGAGTGGATAATCGATCGGCGATCGCGACGGCCGACTCGGTAGGCCAACTGGCATAGCACGATGAATGCCTCCGCATTAGACGACCCTAACAAGACTCCGACGCCCGATATGTATTTCAACGCCGAGAGTCCGTACTGGAACCGATGGAACCGACAAGAAATGGACGGCGTCCTTTACAGTGACCTCATGCCTCCCGCGGCCGCAAAGGCCGATCCGGTCGCCGCCGTGATACGCGCCAACGCCCGCTATGAGAAGATCCGTCAAACGTGTGAACGTTGGGGCGTCACTCAAGTGAAACCGGCTCGCGGCACCGACGCCGACGCGGTCAACGACGCTCTGCCCGCTCTCGAATACGTGTGGGCGCGCTTCTGGCAAGGAGAGAAGACGGAAGAGGAGGAGGATGCGTTCGCCGAGGAATACAGCGAATATGGCGACCATAAACCGACCAACGGTCTCGAGCTCGCACATTTGATCTTGCGGCGCCATGTAAACTTGCCCGTCGGACGATGGATGAAGTGCCCCTCATCTGGTCTCGTCGAGCTCGTGCGCTCCGAGTGGCTGCTTCGATCGGATCCGGAGATTGGCATCCCCGGCCCGGGCCAGGGGGGTCCCCTCAGCAAGGGGGTGGGGCTCTTCGATCGGTTCCATCCGGACGCGGAGCAAGACCTCGAGGGAGGCACCCACGTCTTGCAGAATCTCGCACCGGGCGGTCCCATGATGGGCTACAGTCCCATGAATCCCTACGGGGCCCTGATGACAGTCTTGGATCTCCACCCCGCCGTGTCGCGACGGCTCAAGGCCGCGCCGCGCCGCCACGAGCTCTGCCGCTCGGTCGCGCTCGTGCGCCGCGGCCGCGCGACGCCCGTCGCGGCCTCGGACGCGCTGAGCGTCGTCGCGGGCCTGGACGACGGCCTCCAGCGCGCGATCGCGCGCTTCGCCTGGTAGGCCCCCTAGCTCGCCTGCTTACGCTTCTCGTCGGAGCGGATGCGGTGCCGCGCGCGCTTCGCGGGGTCCTCGTTGCGGAGGATCGCGAGGAGGAAGTCCTTGGGCTGGACGTGGAGGTGGGCGTCGTTGAAGGAGCAGGCGGCGTCGATGATGAGGAGCGCGCGGCCCTCGGGCTTGCGCGGCGCGGCGGCGATCCAGACCGCGCCCGCGCACTCGGCCGCGACCTTGTAGCGGGGCTTGTCCGTGAGCACGTAGCCGGGCTTGACGAGGACCGCGTACTTGCGCAGGAGACTCTCGCGGCCGCCGTCGTCGAGGAGGTTCACGCTGTAGCGCCGCGAGAAGGCCGCGTCCTTCGACGCGAACTCCGCGGAAGGCTCCTCGTAGCCGTGGGACGCGCAGTGCGCGAGCCAGTCGCTCGTGACGATGGGCACGCCGCGCGCGAAGGCGATGGCGACGCTCGTCTTCACCTGGAGCCGCGGGCCGACGACGACGACCGTCGCGTCCGCGGCCGAGTCGGCGACGAGGAGCCCCGCGCTGCTGAGCTGCTGCGCGCGCCGCGCCTGGCTCTCGAGCACGGGGTCGTCGTCCGTGCACGTGAACGCGACCCTGGCCTTGTCCTTGGGCAGGCGGCTCGACCGCCGGCCGCCGGCCGCCGCCGCGGCCGCGTCGCCGGGCGTCGCGCCCGGCGCGCCCGACGACCGCCGCTGCCGCTTCTGCGGCGCCGGCGGCGCGGCGGCGTCGTCGTCGGACGACACGGGCGGCAGCGGCTCCTCCTCGACGGCCGCCTTCTTCGCCGCCTTCTTCTTCGGCTTCGGCGCCGCGTCCTCGCGCTTCTTCGGCGGGCCCCGCTTCTTCGCCGGCGGCGCCTCGTCCTCGGCCGGCGCCTTCGCGCCCCGCTTCTTCTTCGCCGGCGCGTCGTCGTCGCGCTCCGCCTTCTTCTTGGGGCCGCGCTTCTTCGGCGCCGCGTCCTCCTCCTCGTTCGCCGCCTTCTTCTTGGGCCCGCGCTTCTTCGGCGCCGCGTCCTCCTCCTCGTTCGCCGCCTGCTTCTTGGGGCCGCGCTTCTTCGGCGCGTCCTCCTCGTCCGCCTTCTTCTTCTTGGGCCCGCGCTTCTTCGGCGCCGGCGCGTCCTCGTCGTCGTCGTTCGCCGCCGGCTGGTTCGCCTTCGGCAGATCCGGGTAGTCGCGGAGCACCAACAACGGCTTCACCTCCGGCTCCGGCGGCGCCGTCGCGGCCTCGAAGGCCTCGAGGGCGCGGATGTCGGCGGGGCTGATGCGGTAGAAGGCCTCGACGTCGGCGATGGGCACGAGGGGCGGCGGCGGCGGCCCGCCGGTCCGCGCGGCCTCGGCCGCGAGCGCCGCGCGCGCGACTTCG